GGTGGTGGTGGTGGTGGTGGTGGTGGTGGTGGTGGTGGTGGTGGTGGTGGTGGTGGTGGCAGAAAGGCACAAGTCCTCATAGGCGAGGAAAAATTGGAAGGGAAATTAATCACTGCTAAATGCGGGTCGATCGACACTGGATGTTTTGCCTTAAGAGAACCTTTGGAAGAGTAAAGGTCACCTGTGGTTTGGGCTCCATTGTTCCTGAAACGAGGTAAACAACACCTACAACTTTGCACTTTGAATACGCGACAAAACAAAATCAGTGGATCACATGATGATTTAGTGGCACTCCACCTTCTATTTTCACACCATTTGCATCAAAAATGCTGTCGAGGTGAGAAAAAGCATAGGGCACACCTCGACGCAGTTGAGTGCTTTCACTTCTCCGCATACCTTTAAAGGCGTCTTGCAATTTTGTCCCTTATTGTAGAAGAGTTTTTTGCAAAGGGAAGGTCACTTTAGTAATGGACGCATCTTAGTTGCATAGTTGAGCGTGGAGCGATTGGGAGCACTCCGTTTCCCTGAATGGTGGTTACATCGTCCCTTAGAATCAGAGTGACTCCAAGGTGGGCAGTCAAGGAAACAGTAATTGAACGCAAAGGATAAAATGGATGAAGCTGTGTAGAAAGGGCGTTTTTTTGTGCACACTTCATTGCCACATCGGGCTCACTTCGGTACTGCCGAGCCACACGGTCATGCATCCTGATTTCCATGCAGGAAAATGGATGATTACTCAATGCTACTAAGGTAAACAGCCCGTAATTAGCTTTCATACTTCATGCTTTTCGATTGACGTTATTTCACTTGCTAAAAAAAATCACCGGGAGATGATGCGACTGAAATAGTAGCAAAGGGTGACGTAATCTGCTGCTCTTTTCCCGTCAATCAGAGCAGATTTCCCCAACCACACCACAGATCTTCCTTCGGTCACCTCGAAATTTGTCACATTACACAACATTGGAAATCAAAACAGATAGATTAAGATCGTCTCCAATGGGAAGGCGTCCAAATTCCATTGTCTGCTAAACAACATCGACGTGCAAAAGGCCACAATGCACCATGGTGAGCCAGAAATCAAGATGTCTTGCGCAGACACGGACACAGTTCTTAGGCACTCACACCACGACGAGAGGTACGCTCGAACCCTTTCAGCACACACTCCACCAACCATCCACTCAATCCACTCCTCAGTCAAACGACTGCACCAACCACGCATAATAACACACACATGCCGAAATCGACCACACATGCAGAACGGCGTATCACCACGCACACACAATCGTATTTTTGTTGCTGCTGAGCTTGGAGGAGGAGGAGGAGGAGGAGGAGGAGGAGGGGAGCAGCAGCAAGTTATCAACGCCCCCGGTGTTCGTCCTACTTGCTCTTCCGTCACTGAATGTCGAATTCGCTACTTTCTTCACCTTTTCTTCTTTTTTTCTCTCTCTCTCTCTCTGCATGTGTGTGTATGTGAGGGTGGAATCAGTAATGCAAAAATTGCATTCTCGTGTTCGCATTACTGAATCACACATCAACACACATACACACACACACACACACAACACGCGCATTGAACAATCAAATTGAAACGTGGTGAACTGCACATTTTGAGTTTAAACTAGGTCTACCTGTCTCACTCTGCTGTCCTGGTGAGGGGAGGTGAGTGAGAGTGGTTGTGGAGCGCATGTGTGGCATTCCTCCACTTACTTGCTCTCATGCAGTGACAGGGCATTGCTAGCCTCACCTGTTGGCTGCGACAGTGCGGACCATTTCAGTGTGGCGCATTCTGGTTTCTGGCAATGGTGACGAGAGGTGTTGGTGATGCGGATGTTTGCGACCACTTTAAAATGCCTCGGGTTTGGGGAACAGAGGATGACACGGAGGAACGCCTGGACATTGGTGGGACCACAAGCACCTCCTCGTGTCAGCACTGCTTTTATTTGTGTGCCTTTGGTGGTGGTTGTCTCGCCACTGGTTGAAGGGAGGCGAGGAGGGGTGACCACGTCAACTGTGGCAGCAACGTCTACGGTGGAGTGACGTGGCACACTGTTCTGCAGTGGGGAACACTGGCGGGGTGAAGAGTCTGGCAGTGGCTCTCACTTCACATTTGTC